CCTTGACTATAATGTAGATTCAACATGGTTGCCTTGTAGCCTAGTCACAGGCAAGTTTCTTTAGAAGTTCAATAGGACGTATTCTCTAGTGTCCAGGTATTGGAATGTAACCTATTTTAAAAATGAAAACCAAGATTTTAAAGCCTTTAAACGCTGTACCACTATTCACCATTGTATTGGCCCAATATATGGAGATGCAGAGGTAGTTGAAGAACTAATTTCAAATCATCTTAATTTTTCCTACAACTACTCTAATAACAACTTTGCATTTAGAAAGACTAAAGTGAAAGGTGAGATACCAGTTGTTAGCCGCCTTGAGTTCCTAAGGCGGGATATATATAAAGATGATGATGGTTATGATGATAGCCTAGATATGCTAGAACATAAATGCTCCTTGGAGGATCTGGGTGCCAATTTGTTTTGGCAACAGTAGACCCAAAGCATTTTTTAAGATGGAAAAGAAATCCCAAATGGAAGTAGTTTTCAGCCCCATTGGGTTTTTTTGGGGGGGGGGGGTAGCATTTTAAAGCTGTTCACTAAACACTGCACTACTACTCCTAGGAGTATCCAGATAGGGAGTCTCTGATGGGGTTTGTGGGTTGAAAAAATGGCCATAGGAACTGCTTCAGTGATTGCTAAACTCATTGTCCAGGAAAAAAAGAAGTTGCATTTCTTTGCTTTTTTTTAATCGTGTCAGAAGAAACTGCAAGTTGCTTCTGGTGTGAGAGAATTGCAGGGACATTGCCTAGGGGACGCCCGGATGTTTTGCCACCCTATGGGAGGCTTCTCTTGTCCTCACATGGGAATCTGGAGCTGACAGACGGGAATTCACCCTGTCTTGCAGATTCACACCGCTGACCTTCAGGTCAGCAGTTCAACCAGCAAAAGGGTTTAACCCATTGCACCACCATGGCTCATTTGCTGCAAGATTTGGAATAAGCATGTGAATTAGATTTCCTTAAGAGAGAACAAGTGGGTACTACTGTTTACACAGCCATCATGTGAGAGCTTCTTTCCATTTGTCCCCCATTTCAATCAAAATGCGTTCATATCTTGCCCTCCAATGGGGAAGGCTTGACTTCTTGCCTTTCCTTTTGTGTAATAATAATAGTTAAAGTAATAGAATATATTTTTTCTTTGCAGACTGTACGGAGGAATGAACTATCGTCGACTTGGAGGTGGCGTGGGAGTTATCAAAATGACACATTGTGAATCCCATATATGGTAAAATGAGAGACATCTACCATCCATTAAAACTGATCAGCTTGGTGACTTCTGAGCTCTGACTAGTAAAATGAGATCATACATATTTTTTCTGGTGCCTCTTCCTATGGGACAGTAATTGATATTGCAAGCATATTTCCCCTCCTCTACTGTTGTTACACAGCCTACACTAGCTACAGAGAACTACCTGGAATAGTTTGTCTCCCCATCCCAAATGTACTGTTTTTCTGAAGAAACAGGAATTTAATGTTACTGTAAGCAGTGACCTAAGACCTCAAAGTATAGGTGCATTCTGTCAGAGGAGTCTGCTGAGAGAAGAACAAGACATCTGCCCTGGTGAAAGAAGAATGTCTCTTTGGTTACAGAGTAGTCGTCAAGTATGATTGTCTTCTGTATTTGCTCAATTAAATCGAATGGAAGTTGTATAAAGCCTATTCATTTAATTAGAGCTTGCATAGGAGATGCTGTTGGTGAATTTTGCTTCACATCACTTATCTACAGTGACTGTATTAGACAACTTTTCGGTAAGTTAAAGGCTTGTTTTATTTAATTTGTATAATATATTTTTGATACCATGATTTAAAAATTACATTTTTTCCAGGTAGTTGGTTAGTGTTCATACATATGACTTTCTAGTTGAGGCTATGTAAAGTGAACTGTAGCTAAGATCTTTGAAAAAGCACAGAGCTATCCAATATAGTCATCAATGTTATGGGGACTACTTCAGTAAGCGCTAAAGATTAAAAATCTATGGTGTTACTGGAAGAATAAAAAGATTGTCATCTTTCAGGTTTTCTTATATAATCCTGAAAGAACTGATTGAGAACAATGCTAGAGCACAGAGTATCTATTCATTTGAGTGGAGTTTGTATTAGAGAATGCCTGGGTGGATTATGCTCTCTATAGTTTTTAGGCTTATCAGACGCACAGCCTTTTGATTGTGAGGACGGAGGGGGCAAGAGTATGATTCTCCAAATTTTGGGCTGTGGTTCCTAGCCAAAATAGTCAGTGCCAAGAGTTGTAGCTTAGGATTTGGAGGGTGACATCACTGTTCTGGTATCAACATATGTATTCAAAGGCAAAATGAGACCTGCTTTTGTCTTCAGAAAAGGTTGCTGGAATTACCATGTGAACATTGTGACTTTTTGCTTAGATTGCCATTTTTATCATTAAAATGGACTTTAGCTTCTTGACAAGGGGATTACATCAGTTGTAGTCACTGCAACCTTAAAAAGGTATATGTATAGCTCGCCACTTGTGGATTGTGAGCTGCCATGGTTTCGAACAGTGTCCTGTTTGTGTAGTCTCAAGCAGGCAGCAGCTAATGGTTTTGAGCTTGTTTCAACAAGTATGGGAAATTGTGACTCTCCAGATATTTTGGACTGGCAATCTCTCACCATTCACTTTGCTGGCTAGGTAGGTATTGCATTCCAGTATGGCTCATATTTCTCACTGTTACAGACTTTGAAAGGCAATGCAGATGATACTAAACCAATAGTTTTTTAAAAAAAATAACTTCAGTATCTTCAGAGTCTGGGTAAATACCAGTGGGGAGGAGGGAGAGAATACAAGTGGATATTTGAGAAATGTTTCTTGGGTGACATGTCCTTCCTTTTGCCCTCAAGGTTGGAATTCTTCTGTTTACATTTTGAATATTTGCACCTTTACGAAGAAAACGTATTCTGTAAACAAGTGTTTACATATCATTTATGCTTTTTCTAGCATGAGTTAACTTGTATAAATAGTGTTATCTTAATAAAATCTCAGTGTGTGCGTTCTCTTCTTGTGACTCAGTTGCTAGAATTGTTCTCATCTATACCAGCAATACTTAAAAAGTGAGCCTGGGGTCAGCCCTGGTTTCTGAGCCATTGGCTGCCGGTCCCTGGGAGAAAACAGAATTGTACTCGATGGGTAAACATTTAGTGCTGGTCCCAGTGAAAACAAACATGGCTTATCCCTAATATCTGATCTATACATTGATAAATAACCAGCATTGGGTAGCTTTGAACACCAGAATGTTTGACTGGTTATTCCAGATCAGCCTACACAATGATATGTATCCTGCCTCTTGTAATATGGCTTTCATTTTCTCTTGAATTTGCCTCTACTATTCCACACTCAAAATGTTTTCAACAGTGAAGGGTCTCCTACTTGGGAGAGGTGGAATATATTCTAATTTCCTGAAGCTTTTATCACCTCAGCCCAAACATCAGTGAGAGTTTGCAGCCTTTATATCACTAGTTCTTTGCAGCCTTTCCAGCTCTAGTAGAGCTGGATTATAGAGGTGGACAGTTTAGCCACATCATAGGACTCCTCCAATTTGTCTGAGGAAAGGGCACAGGTAGGAGAGTATTACCTCCAGACTGAAAGGAAATGTTCCCTTCTAAGTGGCAGACAGTAGGACAGCTCTTCTATTTTCAGGTGAGTCTGCCACTGTTCCTCTAACACTAGGTTTGGAAACTATGCCCTATGAGGAACACTATAGGGAACTAGGTATATTCAGCCTGGAGGTTATGAAGTAACATGATAGCTATTAAAAGATGTGAAAAGATGCCAGATTAATGATGGAGCCAGCTTGTTTTCTACTGTTCCAGCAACTAGGCTGCCTTGGAATGTGTCTTCTGTGGACATTTTTAAATAGGCTGGATTGACATCTGTTGGGAGTGCTTTCATTGATCTCTTCCAACTCTGATTTATCATGGATTACTACTTTTGTGAATTTCAGTACTCCTCTCCTGTTGGAAAGGGAACATTGGTACTTAGGAAGTTTTTCTATCCTGTCCTTTCCTGGGTTTTAGCTTGTCGAGTCTTAAATGCTTCTCATGTCTGAATTTTGTTACTTGAAACTGAGTGCAGCTATCTCTCCCACAGCAGGTAAAGGCTTCCCTCTCCTAATGGATGGGGAAATCTGTCACATTTATTTTACTCTATTTATACCCCGCTCTTCTCACCCTGAAGGAGACTCAGAGAGGCTTACAAATTATGGCAAAATTCAATTCAGCATTATACATACAAATAATAAACATTTGGAATTATAAAACGGTTAAAACATATAAATGCAATAAAACAGATCCTTCCATGGGAATCTGGCTCTTGGGAGAGATGGCTATATGGTGGGGAAGGGGAAAACACTGCAGGGCTCTGACATAGACCTAAAGGAGGTAATCTATCATGGAGATACAGAGGCCATATAAAGGAGTTATAAAGTCGGTGTCTGTGCATGGGGAGAATTTATTATTTGATTGGTTTTCTAGCTTGCTTAGCTTTGTACAATCATAGAGATGGAAGAAAGCACAAAGGCCACCCTCACTGTCATGCAAAAACTGGCTAATCAAAGCACTCCCAGCAGACAGCCATTCAGACTCTGCTTAAAACCCTCCAGAGCAGGGATCCCCAAATGAAGACCCACAGGCAGGATGCAGCTCTCCAATTTGAAAACACACCAATAATTCTAATTTACTTGACTATCTCATCAGCTAAAAGTAGGTCCACACTTCCCATTGAAATACTGGTAAGTTTATGTTGGCTAAAACTGTTCATGATTTTAAATATTGTATTGCTTTCTTTCTTTGCACTACAAATAAGATATGTGCAGTGTGCACGGGAATTTGTTCATGTCTTTCCAAACTACAGTCCACCCCCCTCCCTCCCAGCAGTCTGTAAACTGGCCCTCGACTTAAAAAGTTTGAGGACCCCTGCCCCAGAGTTTCAGTTGCTGAGATTGCATAATAGAAACTTCAGTTTCTTCATTTTTACTCAAGATTAGAGACTTGGAAAAAGTTATAAAACCATAACTCTTTATCAAAGAACAATACAGGTTAAAAAATCAGAGAAAATAATTACAAAGAAAGTTTATCTTAGCAACAGAAAATACACTGAAAGTCTTGTACTGTAACAGATCTTCATTGTATCTTTAAAATTGCCAGTTCTGTCAGTAAAAACAGTACTTGTATCAGATGTTGGGCTTGGAAAATCTGTAAAAAAACAAAACTGTTACAGTCAGATCAAAGTAATATACAATATTTTCAAGTAAAAGGCATTTAGAATGACAAGGTCAACTCCTGCCCCCACTTTCCAGTTTAACAGACTTACTGTGCCTAACTTGCAATGTCTCAAAATGTACTCTGTAATGTACATTCAGTGTTCTAATGATTTATTTAAGTGTTTAGGATGTGCACTGTGGTCCTCCAGATATAGAATTCCAGTTTCATGAACCATAGCTGACCTTGCCGGTGGTGAAGTATAAAGAGAAATTTGTCATCTAGCTACAGAACTTCTTAAACTGTGGGTCCCGGCCCCAAATGGGATCCCCTTAGCTCAATGTTGGGGCTGTGAAAGGCTTCCTCCCCCAACAGAGTAGGAGTGGATATAGGAAAAGAGAAAGCCAAAAGCCAAGCTATTAATGGAAAGGACTCGGCAATGGCAGCCATCTGCATGGGTGGATGATGGAGAGGAGAATAGGAAGAGAGATGAGGAAAAGCTAACAAGATTTGTAAGGGTGGAGATGGAAGAGAACTATCCTGCCAGCCCCTTGGTGCATTTATTTCCCTCCCTTCTCTCCAACCACACCCCCTTGCTGGAAGGAAATTTCTTTTCTTATTTAAGGAGTAGCTTGGGAACCCGGCAGTGCCCAGGCTGTTAGAAGTGGGCATTGTTTGCTTTGGGGTATTTGGCATTATTGGTTTGGTAACGTATAACACTATTTATTAGGGAAAAGCTCAGTCTTTACTTTTGTTTTTATGACTGCTCCCATTGGAAAATGTCTAAGAGTGGGTGAATGATAATTCCCAAAACCATCAGTCAATCCTCCCCAAACCCTGTCTGTATCCAAAGTTGGCCATATTGGGTCTGTATTCGGTTCAGATCCGAAGTTGGCTGGGTTCAGTGCTCTCTGGATAAGGGTGAGCTACAACTCCCAGATCCTAGGTCAATCACCCCCCAAAGTGGGCATGTACGCTTAGTTGGCCATGTTGGGTCTGTGTACCGAGTTTGGTCCAGATTGGATGCCAGCTGGGTTCAGTGCTCTGTGGATAAGGGTGAACTACAACTCCCAATGCAAAGGTCCATCATCCCCAAACCCTGCCTGTATGCACAGTTGGCCATGTTGGGTGTGTGTGCCAAGTTTGGTCCAGATCCAGTATTAGCTGGGTTGAGTGCTCTGTGGATAAGGGTGAACTGCAACTCCCAGATCCTAGGTCAATCACCCCCAAAACTAGCCTGTATGCACAGCTGCCCATGTTGGGGCTGTGTGCCAAGTTTGGTCCAGATCTGGCATTGGCTGGGTTCAGTGCTCTGTGGATAAGGTGAACTACTACTCCCAACGCAAAGATCCATCATCCCCAAACCCTGCCTGTATGCACAGTTGGCCATGTTGGGTCTGTGTGCCAAGTTTGGTCCAGATCCAGTATTAGCTGGGTTGAGTGCTCTGTGGATAAGGGTGAACTACAACTCCCAGATCCTAGGTCAATCACCCCAAAACAGGCCTGTATGCACAGCTGCTCATGTTGGGGCTGTGTGCCAAGTTTGGTCCAAATCTGACACTAGCTGGGTTCAGTGCTTGCTTGAACGACAACTCATAAAATCAAGGTCAATGCCTGCAAACCCCTGCAGTATGTTCAGTAGGTCATGGGGCTTCTCTGTGCCAAATTTGGTGCCAGTCCATTGTTGGTGGGGGTCACAGTTTTTCTGAATGTAAGTGAACGATAACTCCCAAAAAGCAAGATCAATTTCCCTCAAAGGTCTATAGCAGGGGTCCACAAACTTTTTAAACAGAGGGCCAGGTCACAGTCCCTCAAACTGTTGGAGGGCCGGATTATAATTTGCAAAAAAATTAATGAATTCCTATGCACACTGCACATATCTTATTTGTAGTGCAAAAACACTTAAAAACAATACAATAATTAAAATGAAGAAAATTTCAACAAATATAAAATTATTAGTATTTCAATGGGAAGTGTGGGCCTGCTTTTGGCTGATGAGATAGGATTGTTGTTATTGTGTGTTTTCAAGTCATTTCAGACTTGGGTTGACCCTGAGTGAGGGCCGGGTAAATGATCTTGGAGGGCCACTCTGGCTCCTGGGCCTTAGTTTGAGGACCCCTGGTCTATATTATGTTCTGTTGGTCAAGGGGAGTCTGTGTGCCAAGTTTGGTCCAGGTCCATCATTCATGTGGGTCGCAGTGGTTTGTGAAAGTTGGAGCTGAATAGGGAGAAGGTACTGCAAATCACATCATAGATGGCCCATCCTCCCACAAACCACACCAGGATATACAGTGTGTCATCAGGAGTATGATGGCACAACCAGGAAGATTAAGGGAAAACTAAATGTGTCTGGCTATTTTCCCAGTGACCATCAGTATGCCCTATAAGTACTGTAATTCCCCCAAAATAAAACTCTACAAACAAGACTAAATTCAAACAATTGAGTTTACTAAATAATCAAGGTATAAAAGTGCAGTTTGAATAGTGAAATAAAAACTCTGAGGTAACAACTATAATTTCTATGAGGTAAATATAACTGTTAACTATGGCAAGTATATCTATTAACTATTGCATGTATTGCTATTAACTATGGCATATATAACTATAAACTATGGCATGTATTGTCTATGAACTCTGGGGCATGTATGTTCTAAGGATGGCCTGTTCGGACTGCAAGCCAGACCAGACACTTTCTGGCAACCAACTATAAGCTATTGTCCAAAAAGAATGGGAAAAAAGGTTCTTTCACCAGCCCATTCTGGCTCTGAGTCAGAATGGGCTGCACCAACTGAGCTCGGCCTCTAGGGGGAACCTAAGCTTCTTCCCTAAACTAAGCAAAATGGAACAGTCCAACTCCAGGAAGCAAACAGAGGGGAGTAAAAACTAGGCCGAGACTTCACAGGGGGGGTCTGTCTGCCAAATGTGATCCAGGTCCGTCATTCGTAGGGGACTCATTGGCCGTTTGAAGTCTGATCCAAAGCAGATAAAAGTACTGCTGTAACGAAATGCCCAATTAAAGTATAAGTTTTAGTTATGTTTATTAATATTAGCAGGGAGGTGGACAGAAGCCCCAGGCGTTGCCATAGCAACCTAGCCACCTGGCAGAAGGAAAGGGGCGGAGCCATCTGTCACTGGAGAAAAAGAATATTGGTTTAAAAAAGCAGAGTTGATGGCTGAATGAACCAGACGATGGTTGATCCTAATTATGTGGAGTTAGTCCAAGTTGTTTAGGCCTCTGGCAGGGAGTCAGTAGGAAAAGGACGCTCCAGGTAGTGGGCCAGGTGTTTAGTATTTAACATGGTGTTTTAAAGAAAAAAGGTATTTAAGCCTATAGTGTAGTTGGGCCTGAATGCCAGAAGAAAGAACTTCCCAGTCAATTTATGTGTGACTTCAGTATCGAGCCTGAAGCAAGGAAATAGGGACTGTGGAAAGAAACTAAGTTAAAAAAGGAAGGAATAGAGTGAATGAAATTCATATTGAAACATTGTTCTGCAAGCAATTGATCTCATGTAACCCTATAAGCATATACAATGAGAATATTACAAATAAAAAGAAGATACTGTTTCATCATAAGGCCTCTCTCGCAATCTCTAGCTTAGAGAATTCAGTTTCTGTGCAATTTAGTTACAAGTGGTGGCAGCGGCAAGATGATGGAATAAAAAGTCCCTCTGTCCTAGCCTGAAGATTCTGCATGAAGATTTGTTTGTTTTGTCTGCCATTTTGTTTCAACTGTGTATCCCATAATTCATGGTCCATTTGTGGGGGTTGCAGTGATCTCTGGAAGTGCGAGAAGGTACTGCAAATCCCATCATCTGTGGTCCATCCTCCAAACTGCACCAGGAGAGCTGAAGCGATTGAAAGTATTGCAAATCAGATCACCCGTGGTCCATCCTCCCCAAACCACACCACGTAAAGTGGGGCATGGGGTTATGTGTGCCAAGTTTGGTCCATGTTTGTCTTTTGTTGAGGTTGCAGTGGCTTGTGGAAGTGCAAGCCAATCAGAAAGCGGCCGCATACACACATGCACACATACAAACACTGATTTTCATTTTATATATATAGTTATAGATTGCACCTTAATCTACTTGTAAAAATTGGCTTACAATAGGATGGGCCCTCTCTATCTACAAATTCAACCATCTGCAGCTTGAAATATGTAGAGACAGCTTAAACCTTGACTTTTAAAATAAAGTTTTACTATACCTCTGTGTATCTTGGAATTTGAGCATCCATGGGTTTTGCTATCCACTGTGGATCCTAGAACCAAACCTCACCAGATACTGAGAATCACCGTATTTTATTAAGGGGTTTGATTTTGTACTTGGAACATAGGCATGCCTTAATTCTTATTGCTGTGGTACAATTGATCCTCCACAGCCACGGATTTAACCATCCATTATTTTTTTAAAAAAGTTTGATTTGTATATCTATATACCTGTGGTCCCATAAAGCCGCCTTGGGCAAAAAAAGGGTTGCAAGTTGAAAAAATGTAAGAAGCCCTGCTCTAGAAGACCAAAAGTTATTTGTCAGTACCTATGGGGAAATATTTTTCTTCTTTATCCACGCATGATGTATAAACTACTGCAAATAATTTAGAACGTGGTCCTCCAGGAATTTTTGACTTCAAGTCCCACAAATCCCAGCTAGCTTACCAGCTGTTGGTTCAAAACGCCTTGAGGAAGAACAGGTTGAACCACTGATTCAGAACATTAAACAATCCTTATTTTCTGTTTCAGAAAGTTGATTAAAATATCTTTCAAAGCTCTTTAGAATATTGATATGCAATACTGCATGGCAGAATACATAAAATATTGTAAACATTATTGTGATCTAATGAGTTTTAACAAAAATGGAATTAGTACTGTTCGTCTGAATAACTAAGACTTAGGAGCTAATTCCTCTACATACCTGGGATTCTTTTTTACTCTCTCGGCAACCCAAAACTTGAAACATAAAAGACGAATTGTGATGTTTATGTAGGACATCAGTAGCCAATCAGTAGAGTCATGACCTGCTTTTCTTACCCACTCCTGTGTTAAAATCAACAGCAGGCTATCTGTGAATGGCCACTTTCTAAAATATAAAGGATTCGCTGGTAAGAACAGCTACAGTCAGAGCTCTACCACTGGAGATGAAATATTGTGGGTTTAAAAATATATATCTGTTAATACAATGCATTTGAAATCTTAACAGCCTCAAATGCTAGTTTAGAATATTCAACGCCAGAATGCTCCCACAGTCTAAGCCATTTAGACTTTGCAGTTTAGTACTGCACATGATCAAATTGCTCCCAATATTGGTTGGTTAACTTCTTTTTTAGCATATTTCTTATTTTAAAAACAAAACAAAACAGAACAGTTCCCTTCATTAGTTGCTGCTGATCAGTGAGCTACATCCATACCTTTATCTTTCCAGCAGAATGAGCACAGGCTACAGGTGTAGAAACTTTCACCAATCTTGTGGCTGACAGGTATATCTTGAAGTGTCTGTGAAAGTGTTTGTAAAGGCATTCCATGAACAATTCCACTTCTTCTTGACAGACTTCCCATTCCTTACTCTGGATTGAATCCCAAAGGGCTTTTATGTCTTCAGGATGGATTGAATAAGAAATATCCAAAGGGTAAGCAGCGCAAGGTACAGAAAAAGTCAATTCTGTTTCAAATGTGCGGCTGTCCATACTACAGTTAGACCACATTGCAGCCATCCAGGCAAGACTGATGGGGCTGATTTGTAAGGGACCGAAACAACAATCAAACATTTGCTGAAGCCAAGTTTCCACAAGGTCCGTGAGACCCTTTGCACCGTGTACAAGGAACAAAGGCAAGTAAGTGAAATCCTCCATTACAGTCTCTAAGATGTCATCTCCACAAGTACAACAGAACCAGCCTGCCCACACCACTTTTTCACTTTCATCTTCAGTGGCCACCTTTGATCTTTGTATGATCTAGGAGAAAAGATATATACAGTATTTGGAAGTCAGACATATTCCAGGTAAGAACATTTCTTGAAACAATGTTAGAATCCAAATCTTTTGCAAAATGAATCAGATATACTGATAGAAACTGCTAGCACTCTGATCCTGTGCATGTTTAGCAGTATTTGCTCTCTCAATATGTATGAAGATTACATTAAAACTAAGTAACTATTATTATTAATAATAATTTTATTTTTATACCCCGCCTCCATCTCCTCAAATGGACTCGGGGCAGCTTACAAGGGACATGCCCAGCATAACAGATTAAAAACAAGCAGAAAAAAAACATTAAACATCTAAAAACAATAAAAACATTATGATCAAACAAACATCATAAAACCAATATCATGGCTGACAACAAAAGTGGGATCAGGCTCAGGATTTCTAGAAGCAATTATTTCTATGTAGCACCAAGGGCCAGTGTGGCAAAAGGAGAGCTGGGCTAGGAGGCGAATTAAAATGTTAGAAGTGCTAGAGGGAACCAAATCACAGTGCAGGAGCTAGATATGGTCGGGGACTTTGGTGAGCTGCCTAATCAAAAGCACATTGGAACACCCTTGTTGGAGGGAAATAAACTCACCCTCATTGGAGGGAAGGATATTAGAGGCAAAGATGAAGTACTTTGGCCACATAATGAGAAGACAAGAAAGCTTGGAGAAGATAATGATGCTGGGGAAAATGGAAGGAAAAAGGAAGAGGGGCCAACCAAGGGCAAGATGGATGGATGGCATCCTTGAAGTGATGGGCTTGACCATGAAGGAGCTGGGAGTGGCGACGGTTGACAGGGAGCTCTGGTTTGGGCTAGTCCATGAGGTCACGAAAAGTTGGACTGAATGAATAAACAACAAACACTCGTAAATAAATAAATGTAGTCTTTAAGACTACATTGGAGTCCTGAACAGACTCAGAAGTAGAGTGGGCAGATGAAAAGACAACCTGGCAAAATGGTACTACCTAAAAGAATCTTCCATCTTGTGACTATGGAACAGAACAAACAATTCTGCATCTGTATGCTTGTCCACAATATCTGGCCCCACGTTTAGAGGAATAGTTTAAAGCTACAGACAATATGGTCACTGTTGCTCGTTTTTAGTCAAAAAACTATTTAGCCACTTGTGCTCCTTCTATTTTTATCTGTTTTATACTTGTTTATGTGATGCTTTTGATATGAAACAAATAAATAAAAAGTCCTTAAGAGAATGGTAACAATTCAATTTAAATTAAACCAAGCTTTCCTGTTAGTATCAAACTACCTACCTGAATAAGGACTGATTCCTTTTCATGTTCTGTCATTTTCAAAGCTGAGAGTGAGGAGAATTTTACTTTATAAACAAGATCAGGTTCCGCTTCCACAACAAGCCTTTTTTGCTTTTCAGCAACAATAAAAATACTCAGCTGTCTGGAATATGTCTGCAGTTTTTCATAGGAGAACTTATATAGAGGAGTGACACTGTATAAGGTCCACTGCTTACTGAGAAGAAAGCCTATTTGAGGATCAGCCTTTGCCTGGAATAAAAAAGAAGAATTTTAGTTACGCATATCTGGGTTAAATGGTGCCCAAAATCTATACTTTCTCCTCACAAGAGAGTAAATCCTTGGTCATCTTCAAACACCTGGTCAGCTGGGTCTGAGCAATGTCTTACCTGCAAGTGAGATATTGGTGGAATTATTCTCTTAGCTGGTATCTGACCAAACAAGTTGCCTCTCCTGAGGGACACTACAGCTCTTGAAAGATGTGCAGTGTTAGTGAAGTTCACTCCGTGGTCTGTAGCTTTTCCTCTAACAGTCATCATTCTTCTGGAGTCAGAACTGCTAGAATCCTACACATTAATATTCAAAAGGAACAAACACTAAACTGTTTTACACAAAGTAAAAAAAATCAGATTATCAGATAGTCAAGGTGTAGCACACAAAGCAAGCTACTAAACACTGATGCATGTTTTTGAACTGCGAATTGTTGTTGAGCAATTAAATGTATTCAGCTGCCACAGGCTCAGGAAATGCTGGAAAGCTAAGCTGCTAAACCAAGTCTTGCTCTCCTCCCATCTGGTCAATAGTTTCATATTATGGGAGCCCTGGAAACAAAACAGGAAGGGCAAGAGTGGTGTGGGTTGCCCGGGGCAATAGGAGTTTCCCAACATTTCCAGAAAACATGGCAGTTGGATATATTTGAACTTTCCCATGCCCTGGTGTTTCTGCGGGGGCTTTCTGGTAGTCAAGCCGCAGGATCTCAAGTTCTCCCACTTCCCTTTCCTCTGTCAAATTTCCCATTCCTCGTTCCCTATATACAGACTGTCCCTAAGTTATGAACAAGATCCGATCAATCATTCAATCTATCAAAACTTTATTACAATTCAAAGATCCAGTAGGCCCAGCAGTAAAAAATGAACAACTGAAAACGGATTAATAAATTGATAAAACTTATTAAACACAGGGCAACATGCAACACAAGATGCATATGAACAAGGGTAAGAACAGGGCACATAGATAAAGGACAAGTTTCAGCCTGAGTCTAATACAGAAAGTTGTTTAATCCTAGCTACCTCAGAGAGAAATTTGGCAACAGTTTTAAGTGCAACTCCGGCCATACACAGAGAGAGGGGAGGGAGGGTAATGCAAGTGAATGTTTGTTTGTATTTATGTATGTATTTTTCAAGATGGCTGCAACTTTCAGACAAGACAGCACTGTAACTTCTGCCAAGAACGGATCTGGACCAAACTTGGCAGACTCCCCATGACCCCATTTAAGTTCTTGTGGGGTTTGAGGTGCGGGGAAGAACCTTGGATGATGGGAATTGCAGTACCTTCACCCACATCCAGAGACAACTACTAATCCCATAAGCCATGGATCTACACCAATTTATAATGGGTCCATTCATAACATCAAAAAATTAAGAAAATGTCTTTTTCAAGCTACCTAGGCATCGCCAGGTATTCAAGCTAGTATATATATAAATATCTTAAAAGTTTTGGATAGCATAGGAAAGGGTGAACATTCCTGTGACAGTTCCCCTTTGCTGTCTGTGCCTCTTTTCAGAAGATTTTGAAAAAATTGAGAAAGCTCAGTTGGAGACACCTTTTTCCATAACTCTTCCAGGAGTGAATTCCCAATAGATTTTGTTCACTTCCTGTCATCTCAGCCCTGTTCTTAACTATAAGTCATTTGTAAGTCAGATGTTTGTAACTTGGGGACTCCCTGTAGTTACAAAGATAGGTATTTCAAACATTAAAAAAAATCTAACCTCCAAAACCTCTTGTCCCAAGCAAGGGAGATTCAACCTGTATTGAGGTCAGGCTGACTAGTCTGTAGTTTCCTGGACTTTCCTTTTTTTCTTCGTCTTTTGGAAGCTAGGGAGAATGTTTACTTGTCTCCAGTTCATTTTTACTTCAAGGTGATTCAATTCATACAGTATGTTATGAAGTATTTGAAAGGTGCATCTCACCATTGATTTATGTAGCCGTTTAATAATTCTAATGATCTATATTTTAATGATTCTAATTATTTATATCAGCTTCAGCTGATATGCCAGCTGCACCCCTTCCTAGATTTGGAGGACCTGAAGATGGCAGTGCATGCACTGGTAACCTCAAGGTCGGCCTTTTGCAAAGCACTTTACATTGGGCTACCCTTATACCAAGTCCGGAAACTCCAGCTGGTTCAAAATACAGCAGCCGGATTGGTAACAGGAACATCTAGGAGTGAGCATATCACACCTATCCTAAAGTCACTCCAATGGATGCCAATTAGTTTCCGAGCAAAGCACATGGTGTTGATTTTGACCTTTAAAGCTCTACATCAGTGATTCTCAACCTGTGGGTCCCCAGGTGTTTTTGCCTACAACTCCCAGAAATCCCAGCCAGTTTACCAGCTGCTAGGGTTTCTGGGAGTTGAAGGCCAAAACATCTGGGGACCCACAGGTTGAGAACCACTGCTCTACATGGCTTGGGTTACTTAAATCGTCTTCTCCCATAAAATCTGCCCCACACACTTCGGTCTTCTAGGTGGTGTCTGCTCCAGTTTGCCAGAACCCGACTGGCAACCGTCACCCAGAAGACCTTTTCATCAGCCGCCCCAAGGCTGTGGAACAATCTGCCGGTAGAGCTCCGACAGCTAAATGAGCTGTCAGAATTTTCAAACTATGTAAAGACATATCTCTTCTGGCAGGCCTACCCAGTCAATCTTTAAACATGAATTTTAAGTGTCCTTTGTTTGATCTGTCATGTGTGTTTTAATCTGTATTTTGTGGAGATAAGTTTTGGTGTGTAACTTTTATGGAAGTACGTTTTAGTGTGTGTATTTGTAGTGTTTTTGCTGTGCTTATGTATTTTAATTGTTTTGTAACCTGTCTCGAGCCATTAGGAGAGAGGGTAAGAAATAAAATTATTACTATTATACTGACACAAAAACACAGTATGTCACAGCAAACAAGATCTATATGCTGGATTTCGTATCACAAAATCACAAGTTGAACACTTCCCAAGCGTCTAGGACTGTGTGATGTATTTTCGAATGATACGCACAGATCCAAGTAAGGTGGCCTTTTGCAGTTGAAAGATCGTGATTTTGTCAATGTTTATTGTTTCCTAATGCCGGCTGAGATCTTTTCGCATGGCACCCAGTGTGCCAATGACCACTGGGACCACCTGTAGTGGTTTATGCCTTTGCAGTTCGATTTTGAGGTCCTGATAACAGCTGAGTTTTTCCTCAATGCAACTATCATCCAGTATGACATCATTAATCCAAACTTTTTTCTTTTCTACAATCGTGATGTCTGGTGTATTGTGTTCCAAAACTTTGTCAGTCTGGATTCGAAAGTCCCGCAGTATTTTTGCATGTTCATTTTCCACTACCTTTGCAGATTTATGATCCCACCAGTTCTTTACTACTGACAGGTGGTACTTGTGACATACGTTTCAATGAATCATATTATTATTATATTACTAGTATTAGTATTACAGAGTATTTTAATTGTGCATTTTGTATTTTATGACCTGGTTTTATGTATTTATTTTTCTGTCCTGTTTGACACCAGATTCCACGTTAAATGGGTCACTTTGGGAGCCATTGCTGTCCAAAACTGTTGCCATCATGTCATCATGGAGGAGCCGCAGGATGTTCACAAATTTGTTTGGGCACCCGATTTTTTGGAGGATGGTCCAGAGAGCACTGTGATTCACTGTGTCAAATGCCTTTGCAACTCCGCTGGACCGGCCACGTTGTCCGGATGCCCGACCACCGTCTCCCAAAGCAGTTGCTCTACTCCGAACTCAAGAACGGAAAACGGAATGTTGCTGGACAGAAAAAGAGATTCAAAGATGGGCTCAAAGCCAACCTCAAAAACTCTGGCATAGACACTGAGAACTGGGAAGCCCTGGCCCTTGACCACTCCAGCTGGAGGTCAGCTGTGACCAGCAGTGCTGCAGAATTTGAAGAGGCACGAATGGAGGGTGAAAGAGAGAAACGTGCCAAGAGGAAGGCGTGTCAAGCCAACCCTGACCGAGACCACCTTCCACCTGGAAACCAATGCCCTCACTGCGGGAGAAGATGCAGAGCAAGAATAGGGCTCCACAGCCACATACAGACCCACAAGAATGTTGGAAGACAATCATCCTCGGAAAGCGAGGGATCGCCTAAGTAAAGTTTCTGTCCTATATGTGAAATATTAAATAAACTATCTAAATTATTTGTAGTTGCAAAATTTAAAGCAAATATGAAACCATACATGCTCAGATATATAACTGGAGACAGAAATGTCTTCTTGGCAAGGAAATCTGCTTACAGAGGGGACCCTCTCTGTTCTCCAGGCAGTGGCTGTTCTTCAGAAAGGGCTCGAGGTCTGGGTTCTCACAATAGCAGTATCAGCTTTGTTTCACATCCATTGCAATATACAAGATTCTTTGTTACAAAACAGTAAAGCGGAACGAGAGCAGAGCTGGGGTCCAAGGGAAGGGGGCTTCGAGGGAGCAAAGGAAAGAAAGAGGCCCAAGGCGGAGATCCAAAAGCAAGGAGGCCCCAAACGTCACTCCCGCAGCCCGTCCACACCACAGAACTATCGCGCTACGACTCCACTGTATCTGCCACGCTTTTCCCGCTCCTCCGCCTTCCTTACCCGTTGCTCTGCCTGCGCCATTTGTCAGGCCCGGGACGCCACAGACAACCCCACTCTGCGCTTGAGGCGAATGACAAATTTAGGCGGGCGATTCGAAAGAGCCGAAACAACAGCTGCTGCTTCCGGGCGGCCAGTTCGCCAGCATGTTTTGCGCATGCTCAATAAAAGGTCGGGCGTGGATTGGCTGCCTTTCAGGCGCGCGCCGGCATCGTTGATACCTCAGTGAGAGAAGGAAGGGGTTCTGACCACATTAGTGGGCGGTTGGCTTTGTTTTGCGCATGCTCAGTTAAAGGCCGGGCGTGGACTGGCTGCCTTTCAGGAGCGCCCTGGCATCGTTGATACCTGAGTGAGAGCAGGAAGGCGTCCTGATTACGTTAGTGGGTTTTGGGGCTTGTTTTGCGCATGCTCAGAAAAAGGCCGGGTGCGGATTGGTTGGCTTTGAGGCACGCACCGGCAGCGTTGATATACCTGAGTGAAAGAAAGAAGGCGTCCTGCTCACATAAGTGAGCGGTTAGACTTGTTTTGCGCATGCTCAGTAAAAGGCCGGGCGCGGATTGGTTGCCTTTCAGGCGCGCGCTGGCTTGATACCTCAGTGAGGGAAGGAAGGCGTCTCAGCCATGTTAGTTATGGTAGTTGGAAGTATCGCGGGAGTCCCCAGACTAAGGAGAGCGAGGCGTGTGAGGGCGATAGACAGTCGCGGAGGAGGAGGAGGCCATGCGGTGGCTGCGCGGCTTGTGCGCCCTGTGGCCGAGGCGGCTCCTCCGCGCGGCGCTTAAGGCTCAACACAGGCCTCTCTCGGGCTCCGTGGCGCTCGAAGCAGGTGGGGAAGGGATAATATGGCAGCGCCTTTAGCACAACTGAGGGGTTTTCTCTTCGCGCGCTTCTGTGGCTAGAAGGCCAGTTCTGCTGAGTGATAGGAAAGCCTCAGATTAGGAAGGGCGCGCATACAGTTGTGGGAGTTTCAAGGTACAATCAATCATACGCCTGGCTTGGTTCTGTCAAACTGCTGAGCGAGGTAGTTGAGCTGACTGACTTTCAGCCATAGTAAACAGAACACTGTATTCCGTATTACACTATCTGACACGATTTTTGTTCCTGGGTTAGAAATGTTATTTCCTAATTGGTTCTGTCGTTGGGAGGGCTGACTTGGCCACGGTAGTACACGCTTTGGTTACATCCCGCTTAGACTACTGCAACGCTCTCTACGTGGGGTTGCCTTTGAAGACTGCCCGGAAGCTGCAGCAAGTCCAACGCGCGGCAGCCAGATTACTAACGGGGGCTGGGTACAGGGAGCACACCACTCCGCTGTTACGCCAGCTCCACTGGCTGCCAATTAGCTTCCGAGCACAATTCAAAGTGCTGGTGTTGACCTATAAAGCCCTAAACGACTCCGGCCCTGTTTACCTCTCCGAACGTATTCTCCCCTACGAACCATCAAGATTATTAAGATCATCTGGAGAGGCCCTGCTCTCGGTCCCACCGGCCTCGCAAGCGCGCCTGGTGGGGACGAGGGACAGGGCCTTCTCGGTGGTGGCCCCGCGACTCTGGAACTCTCTCCCTCTGGAGGCCAGAACCGTCCCATCCATCCTAACATTTAGGAAACGGGTGAAGACGTGGCTGTGGAGTCAGGCCTTCGATGAATGAGACAACACCATAGGACCCTGGATGGAAGTTGATGTAGATCCATCTTAATAGGACGACTGACCACTGTAGTTTTATATATAGTGTTTTTAAAGTTGTTTTTGTAATTGTGATATATGATATTTTAATGAGTGTATATGTTTTTTATGGCTGGAAACCAGGCTGAGTCCCTCAATGAGGTTGAGAAGCTCGGTATAGAAAACTGTGAAATAATAAATAAATAAATTATAAAAAACATGGAAAGGTTTTGTTTTTGCGACCTTTCAAATGGCACATTGAAAGATTTAAAACAGCAGCCACAAAAGTTTCTGGAGTAGAACCACTACTTTATTTATTATTATTTATTATTTACAGTATTTATATTCCGCCCTTCTCACCCCGGATTACAGTGCACATATACATGGCAAACATTCAATGCTATTTAAACATTTATAGACAGACACAGAAGCAATTTAACATTCCAGCTTTTCTGGCTTCATGAGGGTATGCTGGATTCTGGCCATGGGGGGAGCTGCCGCTTCACCGTCCACTTGTGACACTGAGTCTTTTGATGGAGTATCTCATTCTTCTGCATGCTGCTGGAAGGTGTTATGGCGTCGTAAATTAGTTAAATTAGCGTCCCCACATAAAGCGCTCCCTAAATGTCCTATGTGACAGATGCAACTGGTTTTCGGGCTGCATAGGCCGACAGCAAGCTAGACTATTAATGATCGGGAGCTTACCCCGACCCGAGCTGCCTTTAAACTCATTACCTCTCGGTCAGTAGCAATTTAATGCAGTTGGCTACTAACTAGCTGCGCCACAGCCCAGTCCACTTTAAAAGTAATTGAACAGGAAATAACACTTTCAAACCAGGAACAGATTTTTTTTTTAAAAAAATTGTTACACACTATTATCCATCTGTAAAACTCATCTTCTTCTTTTTTTTAACAAAGACTGTAGAAGTCCCACTTTGCTTTTACTGCTTGTCCTCTGTCTGGATTTTTTTAGCAGCATCAGCATTGGGAAATTGGGCTGGAGAAACACAGGCATTCAGTGTCAAGGTGCATGTTCCACAATAACATTTGAAAAGTGGGAAAGAATGGCATAGCAGTCCTGGCTAAGTGAGGATGCTTTTTGCAGACTTTAGTTCTGCATTTAACACAATTCTCCCTCATAGGCTGGTGTCTAAACCTTTGGATCTTGGATTGTCATATTCAACCTGTTCCTGGATTATGGACTTCTTGTTGCACATTCCCAGAGGGTTAGATTAGGTCACCATAACTTGTCAGCTCTCAGCACTGGGACACCATGAGGCTGTGTTTTGAGTCCTCTGCTTTATACTTTGTGCACACATGATTGCACCCCCATCCTTCATAGTAATATTATTACCAAATTTGCAAATACAGCTTTGGTGGGGCTTATCTCTGAAGGGGATGAGTCTGCCTATTGGGATGAAGTGGGCCGGCTGCTTTTGTGGTGTCAGGACAATAACCTGATTCTTAATACCAATAAGACCAAGGAGCTCATAGTGGACTACAGAAAGAACAGACCAGAAATGCAGCCCTTGTTTATAAACAGAGACCAAATGGAGTGAGTGGCCAGTTTCAAGTTCCTGGGTGCCACTGTTAAGGAGGATCTGACCTGGGCATCCAGACGGCAAGCCTTGGTGAAGAGGGCCCAGCAGAAACTGTACTACCTGAGACTTCTGAGGAAACAACTGAATGAAAAACTGCTGCTTTCTTTCACTGTATTATAGAGAGTGTCCTAACGTGCTGCCTCTGTGCATGGTTTGGAAACTGCACAGTGACAGATAGGAAGGCACTCCAAAGGGTCACCACTCCTGCACAGAGAATCATTGCTTGCTTTCTCCCCCCTTTGGAAGAACGTTATAGGTCCCACAGCCTTAAGAAAGCTCAGAGCATTCTTGGGGATCCATCTCACCCAGCATGTTCTTTTTTTAATTATTGCCACCTGAGGCAAGGCAGGGACAAACAGACTGAGAGCTTTTATCCTAGAGCTGTGGCTATGTTAAACTCCATGGTTATGCATTGATGTGGCAGTGGTAGTGGGAGCGTTGAAGGATGGGTGTATTATTTTGTCCTGTGTGGGGAAGTCATCTAATTTTGTTGTACAATGACAATAAAGTTATTCTATTCATCTGTCCTATTCTATTAATAATTAATAGAATATTTTTTCTTTTCTCAAGATGTTAATAGTTTTGTTTCCCGAACTAAAACATGTGGGGAACTGCGCTCTATTCATATAGGTCAAGAAGTTACCCTTTGTGGATGGATTCAATATCAGAGGTAAAGAGAAATAAAACTACAATTTGTTAAGAATATAATAATTGTTCATCTTACATAGTTTAGTATCTTGTTTCCAGCAATGGCCAGTCAAATGGTTCTGGGAATGCCACAAAATGCTTTTGTTCATAGTTTCTCCTGCTCCACCTAAAACAACTAGTATTTAAAGAACTCTGTAGTAACTGCTAGTGGCTTCCCATGAATGTTTATCTCCATTTTGTTGTATGCCTTCAAATCAGAACAAAATTTGTTCAAAGTCTTTGACTTCCTCTGAGGCTATAAGAGATTGACTTGCCCAAGGTCACCGAGTAGATGTTTCTGTCTGAATGGGATTTTACCATGGTCTTCAGTGTTGAGTTCAGCGCTCAAATCACTACACCTGGCATCATTTTTTGGAATCAGCCAGGCAAATATACCCAGAATCAGGACTAACATTTGAGGCACCAAAATGTGTGTTAACCAATGCTATTCACAGTATCCTTTGTCCTGCTGGATGTCCATTTTTCATGTATAAACATTGCTCATGTCTCCTGATTGATCTCTTTTTCTATATTAAAACCCCGCAAACAATTTAAAATCCTTTTGGCAGGATACTTCCACCTCATAATTATTTTAGTTGACTTTTCCTAGGTGATTAATAAAATTTGAAAGCTAACCACTTCATTGCAGCTGTAGTGACTAGGTATATTTCAGCTTTTGCTTTGAATGCTTTTACTTGATCACTTTACAGTCAGCTTTAGTCTTCCTTCTGCATCCTAGAAGAATTTTTTTGACACACTATTTGAACCACTTGCCATCATTTTCAGAAATACTTGAAACCAGGTAAGATGGTAGAAGACTGGAAGCATCCCTCTCTTTAAAAAAAAAAAAAGGCAAAAGAGACCAGTCAACCTGACCTCAATACAGGTTGAATCTCCCTTATTCAAAATCTCTTGCTTGGCACAAAAGATTTTAGGGACCAGTTTTTTTCAGTTTTGGAAATATCTGTATTTGCAACTACATAGTGAGCAAGGAAAGGGAAATGTAACAAAACTCAGTGGGAAACTGATATGTTATTACCTCCATCTCTCAAAGGCGGAAATCATTCCATGACTTTTATTCTCTTTTGGAAACCAATGTAAATCATGATTTTTAAAAATTCCAGTTGCATTCCAATATGTTATTTGTGCACAGGACACCATACGGCAGCTTGAGTGGAAAACAACTCATAGATGTGTTCTTTTTCCATAATAAATACAATGTAAGTTCAGAACATGAACACCTTGGATTTCAAAGGTAGAAGTCTCAACTTGAACTTCCCCACGGAAATGTAAACTTGATTCTCCTGTTGAAATTGGTTGTAGTTCAGATGGGTCAATTAGGTCTGCTTCTTTTTCTCTATTGACTTTGAGCTATAAACAAGAACATGAAAGGAAACTGAAATGAGATTATATCATTAAATTTTAAAAGTACTATTTCAGAAGATTTAAGGAAGACTATGTGTTTTTCTCCAAAACCATTCTTCATAATTTAAACTAATGTTTCTAGGAGTAGGATCTGGCCATTCTGTAATTTTACCTCTGCTCCATCTAAGACTTGAAGACTAGGGTTCAAATTCCCACTCAGACATAGAAGTCCAATGGTTGGCTTTGAACAAGTCACATAAGTCGAGCAACTTGGATGTATATAACAAAACAAAACAAAAACCTGTCATGCTTTCTGCTTGATTTGTAATTGTTCTGCTTGCAGTTGTACATTATAACTATGAATTTATGTCTCCTTGCACTAGACAGGGGCAGTTTGTTATTTTGAGAGACTTCCAGGGACTCACACAGATTGTTATACCTCAAGATGAGGTAAGAGCCATCAAGTGATGTTTGTATAGTTGCACTGCTCTGAGTTATTGCCATGTGTTTAGGCCACACTTTAAGCTATTTTAATTCCGAATGTGTTGTTTATATGCCTGTTAGCTGTAATTGTTTATATTTTTAAGTACATAAAACCTAGAGTTTCTTTCTTCTGCCCTTCAATATCCTAGCTATCAGTATATTTCACTCCTTTTCATATTTCATAGTGCTGGGCATGAATTATTTGATAAAATGCTGCTCCTAAACTTTAGTAGGCATATGTCTCCACATAAGCAAAATATCACTTTTAGGGCCCTTCTACACTGCCATAAATAAATCCAGATTATTTGTTTTGAATTGGATTATATGGCAGTGTAGACTCATATAATCCAGTTCAAAGCAAATAATGTGGATTATCTGCTTTGATAATTTGGATTAAATGGTAGTGTAGAAGGGGCCTTAGGTGTTTATTTGAGTAGAGATTGGGTATCTTGAAATATTCTGGACCAGAAATGTTTTGGATTTTTTTCAGGTTTTAGAATATTTTCATATACATTACGAGAAATTCTAGGGATGGAACCTAAGTCTAAACACATAATTCATTTATATTGTGCATATTTTTATATACAAGGAGTGTAGGTTATTTTGTGCATGAAACCAGTTTGTGTGTATTGAACAATCAGAAAGCAAAGGTGTTCCTATTTCAGCCCCTTACATGAACAATTTTGGATCATTTCAGATATCAGATATTTGAATAAGGGATACTCTACCTTCAGTGCAGTACACCAGGGATTTTTCCCTGGTCCCTTGATTTAATTTTGCGACTGAGTAAAGGATATCACTACTACCACCTCTCTAGTAATGAAATCTTACACAGTGCACATGCTGATGCAGCTGCCGATGAGGAATTTTTGAGCAGGGTTTTCCAGCCCAACAACAACACAAAATTTTTTTCTTTGTGTCTTGTTTTTTAAGCCTTTTTCTGTGGTCATTTGGGATGCTGATTTAGAAAATTGCATTGGATAGATAACAGCTCTGGTTTCTTAGATATAGTTATCATGTTTTTTTATGGGTAAGGAGATGGCACATGGTAGAGGGGATATATGCCGTATTTCAAAAACTAGAGTTGATGGGGGAGTCTGGTGTCATTTTTGAAATCAGCAGGCCAAATATACCCAGAAACGGGTGACATCTGAGGCACCAAAAGGTGTGTTGGTCAGTAATTGTTCCCATCTTTTCTGCATTTAACCATTGGGTTGCATTGGACTGTTCCCCTCACTTTTTAAAACCCTCCTACGAGATATATCCTATTTTGTCATACCCAGCGTTATTTTTTAATTTTTAAATTACATCTGGCCTGGCCATAAGTTTTTAAATCCTGTGTGTTATTGTTATATGTGATTTATATTATTTTGTATTGTTTTGTATTGTTGTTATTGGTTTTCTGTTGTGATGTGTTATTGGGCTTGGCCTTATATAAGCCGCTCAGAGTCCCTTGGGGAGATGGTGGCGGGGTATAAATAAAGTTTTATTATTTATTATTATTTAATCAGCTAATCACATGATATGTTATTTTGGAGGTCTACAAAACTGGCAGTGAGGGAGACATTCACTTTTTTAAAAAAAAAAAATTCTCCACCTGACATGTGTTAACAGATCCTTCATTGAATTGTTAATTTATTATTTTGTTTCCAACATTTGTACCCCGTTCTTCTCAACCCCCGAAGGGGGACTCAGGGTGGCTTGCATCGGAAACAATTCAATGTGAACACATACAGAATACATACACAATATATCACATTACACTTTAAATAAATCCATTAAGTTAAAATCCATTTTAAAACATTATTAAAAACCATGTTTTTAATCCAATCCAGCGTCCAAAGATTTTGTCAAAGCCTTTCCATTGTCAGTTCACGTAAACATTGCATTGAACACATTTATTCACAATGAGGTCCACTGTTAAATAATTAATATCAAAATTGGATTGCTAGACTGAAATTATTTTATGATTAAATGATCAAATCTTACATTACATTGAAAATGATTCCAAATGATGTTGGAAGAAGCAATCTCAAGCCTCCTCTATATGATGTTTATCTGCTTTAATATGTGTTGTTTTGTAACCTAAAGTATATGTCTTATTTGATTTGCAGTGGGAGGGGCTGCAGGTCATGTGACTGACTCAGTGACAGTTTAGAATGTGCAGATTTAAATAGGATCACAGTTAGGGAAAGTCAGATGAGTGTTGAGGAATGGCTGTTAGAAGTGTTGAGTGAACCTTGTGTATAGAAGTCTGTCAGAGTGCAGAAACCAATATTAGGAACTCAGAAACTATAGAGGCTTGTGTTTTATTTGAAAGTAAACTCTTACTAAACAGTGCTGTATAAAGCAACATAGTTTATGAACAAACATTTAAAGATTATAAGATACAAACTCTGAAACGTTACTGAATTTTAACCCTTGACAAGAAATGTGCCTGTATCTTTAAATACATGAAATTATCAGTAAACAATCTTAGTATTTTAAAACGAAGAAGAAACAAAAACATCTACATGACCAGCGATCATCCATTACCAACCATTTTCTGCAACCCTGATTAGGTTGTGATCCTAACAGTTCATGATCCATTATCCCCAATAAATGATGTATGTCCTAATTCGTATACATTACGTTCTCATTTCTTTAGGCTGCTTCTCATGTAAAGAAAATTTTGTGTGATGTTCCTGTTGAATCTGTCGTGAAAGTGACTGGGACTGTGATGTCCCGGCCTCCAGGACAGACAAATCCCGTGAGTGCTTTGCTACTCTCCACTCTCTTGATGTGAATGTCATTAAGCTACTTTAAGGCGCAAGGCATATGGCCAGTGCGGCTGGGCACTAAAAGTGTCTAAATGCCAAAGCAATGCCAGAGGACTTCAAAACAAAATTTGAAAGATTTTCTGTTCCTGGTTTGAAGTGTTATTTCCTTTGAAAGTCGTGGTTCTACTTCAAAAACTTTTTTTTTGTGGCTGACACAAACTACGTTGCATTGGTCAAGACTTGAGCTGTTCATTGAAAAATTAGAGCAAAATGTGCTGCAGATGTGCACATAGTTTTTGCAGTTTAGTAAGCTTTTTCCTTGTTTTTATGATTTAACTAATTAGGAAATGATATTTATAACCCAGGAACAAAAATTGTGTAACATAGTGTCATCAAGGATGTATTTGAAGTGGTTAACATTTTTTAAAGACAATTATCACTTTCCTGTTTTAGAACATGCCAACGGGTGATATAGAAGTGAAAGTGGAAACAGCAGAGGTCCTAAATTCCTGTAAGAAACTACCCTTTGAAATGAAGGACTTCACCAAGGTGACTATCTCTCTTTGATTTCCGCCAGTTATAATGTCTCTTTTAATTCTTGCTTTTTCATACCACACTAAAGCAGTGGTGTCAAACTTGTGGCCCTCCAGGTGTTTTGGACTTCATTTCCCATAATTCCTGGCTACTAGACAAGCTGACAAGAGCTTCTGGGAGTTGAAGTCTCAAACATCTAGAAAGCCGTAAGTTGGACACCTGTGGTCTTAAGAAAGAAACAGCTTGAAAAGAAGCCTCTGTTGATGCAATTCCAATTAGGAACAACCACACCTTTTGGAAAGTTATGTTATTTCCTTAATCAACATAGTGTCAAAACAAAATGTAACAATTAGCAATAACTGCAGATAGTGAGATATGTGAGAATGATACCTGGAGTTGAGGAATACTGATATGCGTAAGGGCAGGAACATGTTTCCACTATTTAAAATAAGAAACAGAAAAATATACAGTACGTTTGGGCATTTTAAATTCCACGACAAGAAAAACTTTCCGATTAACACATCAATCCTTACATTTACAAAGCAGAAAAAATAACGTAGTAATGTAAACCTAAAGTGTGTTGAAATAAAGCAAACTGTTGATCTGTAACAAAAAAAAAAGTGAACAGATTTGTATTATTGCCATTCTTTCACATAAGTACGCATTTCAAAGCTAACTATTGGGGCTAAAAATTAGTGTTTCTTTAAAAAAATTAAACATTTTTAAGAAGAAAATAATAACACTGATGTTGTTTAAAATGTCTTTGCTTTCTGTATTGTCATAGAATGCCCATACGCTCAGCCAGAACCTTTTACTCCAGATAGCAGGTAGCATTTCAGGCAGGGAATCCTGAAAAGAATCTGCAACTGGTCACACATTAAGTTACAGAAATTGTCTGAATGCTTGTTTTTGGCAAAGGCAGGTTATTACATTACAAGTACAAATTATTATTCATTTATCTTAAGAAAGATTTAGGATTCTGAGCAAAGACTGAAATATTTTTCATATCATAACACTTTCACTTTGATACTTTTTGAAGCTAATCTGATGATTTTGAACAGTGATTTTTCCCCTTTTGAAGCTATTGCCTATCCTCTTTTGCTTAGAAAACTGAGGCTTTGCGAATGCAGTATCGCTATTTGGATATTCGTAGTGCCCAGATGCAATACAATCTACGGCTGAGATCCCAGATGGTGATGAAAATGAGAGAATATCTCTGCAACTATTATGGTGAGAAGAGTGCAAAGAGTTGCCATAGCTTGTGAAGCAATTTCTTTTCCCGCATATCTTATATCTGTGAAATATTGTTTTAGGGTTTGTAGATGTGGAAACTCCAACATTGTTTAAGAAGACTCCAGGGGTAGGTACGCTTATGTTTCTTTTTCTGTGGCTGTATTTTGTGATACTTTTTTCTGAGGTTATATTTTATAATTTCTCTAAACTTTTTTTCCATAAAGCATTTAGAAATGCCCAAACCTCTGGGACATATGTTTCAAATTCAAGGCCTGCAGGCAGAAACCAGCCCTCTGTGTCATTTTATGTTCCCCACCCCCACCCCCCGATGCCGGACTACAACTCCTGTATTCCTCATCATTAGACATCATTAGAGCTGATAGGAACTACAGTGGCACAATGGGTTAAACCCTTGTGCTGGCTGAACTGCTGACCTAAAGGTCGGTGGTTCGAATCAGTGAGACAGGGAGAGCTCCCATCTGCCATCTGTAGTTTCCCTTGTGGGGACATGAGATAAGCCTCCCACAGGATGGTAAAACATCCAGGTGTCCCCTGGACAACTTCCTTGCAGACAACGTCCTTGCAATACTCTCACACCAGAAGCGACCTGCAGTTTCTCAAGTCGTTCCTAACACGAAAAAGTAATCTTTTTATTAATTGATCAATTTTTAATGCTAGGGTTTAATATACTTTCCAAAACAGGGAGAGAAAGGATATTTGGGGGCGGGAGATGTGTGACTAAAACAAAGTAGGGCTTTGACACCTGCAGTCCTAATGAATCTACCAAGAAAAAATACCACATCATTACAGATCTAGCTAAATAACACTACTATAATTGCTAATAATGTAGATTGTTACATTATTATGTTTATATTTGTTTATATCCCACTTTTTCTCTTCATAATGTGACTCAGAGTGACTGGCATTAAAAGCATTACAGTGCATTTTAAAATACAAATATTGAAATGTTATTAAACATAATTAATATTTAAAACAATTTAATTAAATCCATAAAAACATAAAAAATCACAACAGACTTAGTTTTCTTATTGCTCAAAAACCTTCCAAAAATTATATTGACATGTCCATCAAACCCACATTAATTTGACTATCTTGGCCAACTCAGCAACCTGAACAAGTAATTCTTCTACTGTATCATCAGTCCTTTAATCCATTTCCAATGCACAAAAGGCACATTGCTTTGCTAGTGCCACTACTACCATATGCCGCCTACAAGATTCTGGCCTCCTATGTTTTATTCACAAGACCATCTAAAGTGAACACAGTTTCTGCTTTACATTACACTTTCCTTTTAATACTAGGGTGCAAAAGAATTTGTGGTGCCTTCACGGGAGGCTGGGAAATTTTATTCATTGCCTCAGAGTCCTCAACAGTTTAAGCAGCTGCTGATGGTTGGTGGTCTGGACAGGTGAGCTTCTTTGGCACAAGGAATTTTGGTGGGGGCATCTCTTGGAACAGCAAGAGCAGGAAATGACTGTAGTTCCTCAGTTCTGAGATACACTTTCTTTCCCTACTTCTTAAAAAATGGAATGCATCTTAGAATTAATTGCAGGTGCATCTTGTGTAGTTTTGCTGTTGGTGGTGGTGATACTGAAATTAGTCTGGGTGTTACAACCAATGGTATCTTACAATGAAAGAAATACGGTATTCCTCAAACAGTGACCAGAAAAGCTGTGTGGTTTGTAGAAAAACTGACCCCTTTATGAGTTATTTGGTTCCACAATAAAGTTATTAACAGGCAGTAAAGGAAGGCGTCCACAAATTGATTTAACATGGGAGCATATGTTCATTCTCCTTTGGCAAATGCTCTGCTTAATAGAAGATTCTGTTCTCCACTCCCCTCCACTGTACTTGTCATGTCCCATGAAGACCCTCACGGTTTACCCCTAGTTAAGCCCTTTTTAGTTATAGGGATTAATATTTTATGTACAGTTTCGGGGGGGGGGGGTCAGTCTAGTCAGTCTGGCAAGGCACTTCTGGTTCTTGGAAGAGTCAGCCTTTTTCATGATTTGAAGGTGAAGAGAGAGGAGGGCCAAAAGGTCTACAAATAGCATGTCCAGTTGAAGCTGCATAAGTTGTATTCAAGTCCAGTTAGAGTTAAATATTGAGACCATCTTAGAGACAGTTGAACACCATACAAGAAAAAGACAATAAGAAAAAATAAAGATTCAACAGCCTCCCTTCGGCCAGAATTGTGTCTATCTCTTAAAGACTTTATCTCTCCTCATAAAGACTTTGTAGTGAGACTCAGAAAGAGATAAAGTCTAAAATTCTTGCCAGTTAATAAATTCCTGTTTGGTTCAACTATATAGTCTCCAATTTGTTCCCGCGCAGCCAGTTCACCTTTCAAGTAGTTAAGGTAGCATTGGGGCAGAACGTTATTATTGAGATATGAAGCCAATAGAAGAGTTAGTCTAGAGAGGCTTAAACTTCAGGAACCTGACAGAAAAACTCCCCTCTCCCACTTGCTCTGTCACTACAGAGGAATAACTAAGACATAAATTGTTATTAAGCTCTCGAGAAAGGAGTTACAAAGCATAATTTTCATCCTTCAATTCAATCTTCTCTTCCTTTCATCATTGAGTCTTTTCTGCCCTTTCTTCAATGCTCAGCCCCTCCCTAACTTTTTGACTACAAGGAGTTAATTACCATATAACATCAATCTAGGATGCACTTTTCCACCAAAAACTGAGGCTCCAAAAAGGGTGTCTTGCAATTAATGGCATCTTGGAATCACACATTTTTTTAAAAAAAGAAGATTGGGAGGGAAGCCAGACATCCTGGGCACCTCTGTATCTCACTCTCTGATTAGGCACAGAGGACTTTTTTCTCTCGTCTTCTGTTTCCAGAGAGAAAGAGCCAAGCCAGATTTGGAGTCCAGGGCCTCCAGATTTTCTCTTTCTCCCTCTCTCTGCAACTGCTTGCATTCCCAATGACACAAAGCAGCATGAAAAATAAAAAACTAGAGAGAAAAGTCCAAGATGATAGGTGGGCTCAAATAAAAAGGGTGCATCCTAGAATAAAAAATACCCTTTTCCCAGGGCGTCTTACAATCTTATACGGTAGTACACTAACTTTTCAATCTTTACCACCAATGACAGGTATTTCCAAGTTGCCCGCTGCTATCGAGATGAAGGTTCAAAGCCAGACAGACAGCCTGAATTTACTCAGGTGATTGGCCTCTATTGCTATTTACTTTAGTTTATGCCATAAGAAAATGTGAAAGTATGGTTAGGATCACATCAATCAAATTGCTTGTGCAACAGACTGCTATTTGAATTGTAGCAGCTTATGCAGGGGGGCATCTTAAGATCTCCTCATGCAAATAAAAGATAAATAGTGATAACAAATAGCAGTGGTTGAGTCGAGCCAAAAATGCAATTGCACACTGTCTATCGGACAATGGAGCAATCACCTTCTGTGTAGATCGAGGCCATCTTTGTCTAGAGTAGAGCTTTCCAAACGGTGTATCATGCCACATTACTATGTTGGCTGCAGTGTGTCTTGCGACCTCTGAGTTTATGTGAAAGAAGCAATAAATCATATTTATTAAACATTTATAAATGAAAGGTTTTCATGAGTTATGTTGTGTCCCCATATTTTTTGTCGTTACAATTTACATATGTGTCCCTATCTCTCATAAGGGGTTGTTGATTTAACCTCCACTTTGCTAGTAAAAGTAAATTACTGTGTTGAGCAATGATGTACATTTAATGAGTGTGTTGCCAACACGAAACATTTGGAAAGCTCTGGTCTAGAAGCTGCTGTGCATTAGAAGAGAAGGCTTGGGGAAAATCACCTCCCAAAATGGGACAAGCAGTTACTCCTACTGTACTTTGGTTTTGAGCCAGGGAATAAAGAGGGAGAAAGCTTTAGATAGAATTAGCGTCTTGTCAAGTTGCGTGTCCTGAGTGATCAGACGTAGCAACGTTATTTGAGTTTTCTACTCCACCAGACATGAAGAGAATCCCGGCCGGTGTTCCTAACTGCATATTGTATGCACAGTCTGTCTGGCTACTATGGGACATGATCTCTCTGTAGCATAGAAGCTTTATTTGTGTAGTTTTGGAACTGAGAGTTTTGAACATCCCAAATTTGAATTTACCGGTTAAGAACAAAGCCAAGAACATAAAAATGTGCCAAATGCTATTTGCAGTGGTGCTTTTTTGTCTAAACTATCCCTGAGTGCTCCCCACCTCCCAAATTGCTGCTCCCAATAAGCTTTGCTCTCAGTAAGGTATGTCCGAAGAACTGTCAGTGCAATGTTATTGCTCACAGTGTTAAGCCAACATTTGTGACACGCCCAAGAAATTGTGCATTTGTGCTATTAGTTCAGTGCTATTATAATATCAACAGTTGTTGTTGTTGTTCATTCGTTCAGTCGTCTCCGACTCTTCGTGACCTCATGGACCAGCCCACGCCAGAGCTCCCTGTCGGCCGTTACCACCCCCAGCTCCCTCAAGGTCAGTCCAGTCACTTCAAGGATGCCATCCATCCATCCATCTTGCCCTTGGTCGGCCCCTCTTCCTTTTGCCTTCCACTTTCCCAGCATAATTGTCTTCTCTAGGCTTTCCTGTCTCCTCATGATGTGGCCAAAGTACTTCAACTTTGTCTCTAGTATCTTTCCCTCCAGTGAGCAGTCGGGCTTTATTTCCTGGAGGATGGACTGGTTGGATCTTCTCGCAGTCCAAGGCCCTCTCAGCACTTTCCTCCAACACCACAGCTCAAAAGCATCGATCTTCCTTCGCTCAGCCTTCCCTAAGGTCCAGCTCTCACATCCGTAGGTTACTACAGGGAATACCATGGCTTTGACTAGGCGGATCTTTGTTGCCAGTGTGATGTCTCTACTCTTTACTATTTTATCGAGACTGGACATTGCTCTCCTCCCAAGAAGTAAGCGTCTTCTGATTTCCTGGCCACAGTCTGCATCTGCAGTAATCTTTGCACCTAGAAATACAAAGTCTGTCACAGCCTCCACATTTTCTCCCTCTATTTTCCAGTTGTCAATCATTCTTGTTGCCATAATCTTGGTTTTTTTGACGTTTAGCTGCAACCCGGCTTTTGCGCTTTCTTCTTTCACCTTGATTAGAAGGCTCCTCAGCTCCTCCTCGCTTTCGGCCATCAGAGTGGTGTCATCTGCATATCTGAGGTTGTTAATGTTTCTTCCAGCAATTTTCACCCCAGCTTTGCATTCATCCACCCCGCACATCGCATGATGTGTTCTGCATACAAGTTAAAAAGGTTGGGTGAGAGGATGCAGCCTTGCCGTACGCCTTTCCCAATCTTGAACCAGTCTGTTGTTCCGTGGTCAGTTCTTACTGTTGCTACTTGGTCCTTGTACAGATTGCTCAGGAGAGAGACAAGGTGGCTTGGGATGCCCATCCCACTAAGAACTTGCCACAATTTATTATGATCCACACAGTCAAAGGCTTTAGAATAGTCAATGAAGCAGAAGTAGATGTTTTTCTGAAACTCCCTGCCCTTTCTCCATTATCCAGCATCCGGATATTGGCAATTGGGTCTCTGGTTCCTCTGCCTTTTCTAAACCCAGCTTGTCCATCTGGCAACTCTCGCTCCATGTCTTGCTGGAGTCTTCCTTGCAGGATCTTGAGCATTACCTTACTGGCATGAGAAATAAGGGCCACTGTACGGAAGTTTGAGCAGTCTTTCGCATTTCCCTTTTTTTGGTATGGGGATATAAGTTGATTTTTTCCAGTCTGATGGCCATTCTTGTGTTTTCCATATTTGCTGGCAAATGGCATGCATCACCTTGACAGCATCATCTTTTAAGATTTTAAACAGTTCAGCTAGGATCCCGTTGTCTCCTGCTGCCTTGTTGTTAGCAATGCTTCTTAAGGCCCATTCAACCTCACTCCTCAGGATGTCTGGTTCTAATTCATTCACCACACCGTCAAAACTATCCTCAATATTATTATCCTTCCTATACAGATCTTCTGTATAGTCTCGCCACCTTCTCTTGATCTCTTCAGCTTCTGTTAGGTCCCTGCCATCTTTGTTTCTTATCATACCAATTTTTCCCTGAAATTTACCTCCAATGTTTCTAATTTTCTGGAAGAGGTCTCTTGTCCTTCCTATTCTGTTGTCTTCTCCACTTCCATGCATTGCTTATTTAAAAATAGTTCCTTATCTCTTCTGGCTAACCTCTGGAATTGCGCATTTAACTGGGCATATCTCCCCTTATCACTGTTTCCTTTTGCTTTCCTCCTTTCTTGGGCTACTTCCAGTGTCTCAGCAGACAACCATTTTGCCTTCTTGGTTTTCTTTTTCTTTGGACCGTACTTTGTTGCCGTCTCCTGAACAATGTCGCGGACTTCTGTCCATAGTTCTTCTGGGACTCTGTTTACTAAATCTAGTCCTTCAAATCTGTTCTTCACTTCCACTGTATATTCGCTAGGAATGTTAGTGAGATCATATCTAACTGGTCTGTGTATTTTCCCTGATCTCTTTAGTTTTATTCTAAATAGGGCAATAAGAAGTTCGTGATCTGAGCTACAGTCAGCCCCAGGTCTTGTTTTCACCGACTGGATGGATGTCCGCCACCTTTGGCTGCAAAGGATGTAGTCAATCTGATTTCGGTGCTGACCATCTGGTGAAGTCCATGTATAAAGCTGTCTTTTAGGTTGTTGGAAGAGAGTGTTTGTTATACACAGCGAGTTTTCCTGGCAAAATTCTATCAGCCTGCGTCCCGCTTCATTTTGTTCTCCCAGACCATGCTTGCCTGTGATCCTTGTTGTCATTTGACTTCCCACCTTGGCATTCCAGTCTCCTGTAATGAAAATAATGTCTCTTTTTGGTGTATTATCCAGTAGGTCCTGCAGATCCTCATAGAACTGATCTACTTCTGCTTCTTCAGCAGCTGTGGTTGGGGCATATATTTGGATCACTGTAATGTTGAAAGGCTTTCCTTGCACTCGAATTGAGATCATTCTGTCATTTTTTGGGTTGTATCCAAGCACCGCTTTAGCGAATTTCTTATTAATTATGAAGGCTACTCCATTTCTTCGATGTTCCTCTTGTCCACAGTAGTAGATCTGGTGGTCATCTGATGTGAAGTGGCCCATTCCAGTCCACTTCAGTTCGCTGACCCCCAGAATCTATCTTTAGTCTTGACATCTCGCCAATAACAACATCCAATTTGCCCTGGCTCATAGATCTTACATTCCAGGTTCCTATGGTGTGTTGATCTTTAGAGCATCGGATTCGTCGTTCACCTCCAGTACCTTCGGCCGCTAGCCTTCCTTTCGGCTTTGAGCTAGCTGCGTCATCACATCTGGGGCTAGTTGAACTTATCCTCTGCTCCTCCCCTGTAGCATTTTGGCCATCTTCCGACCTGGGAGTCCCATCTTCCAATGGCATACCGACATATCTCTGGTTGTACTGGTCCATTTAGTTTTCTTGGCAAGGATACTGGGATGGTTTGCCATTGCCTTCCCCAGGGATCACGCTTGGTCTGACCTCTCTGCCACAACCGTCCCGTCTTGGGTGGCCCTTCACGGTTTCGCTCATGACATCATTGAGGTGCTCAAGCTCCAGCGCCCCGACAAGGCGGTGATCCTTTGCTGGAGAATATCAACAGTTAGCATAATCTAATACTTTGGTACATGGTAGTGAAAACTGGCAACTTGCGGCCCTCTGGATGAAACAGAGCTACAATTTCCATCAGAGATTGCCAACCAAGCTGGAGGTGAAGTATAGTGGGAGTAGAAGTTGGAGGGTAGGTATTTTCCATCCATGGGATTGTGGCTACTACGTGGCCAATAAGTGGACTGATAAAAGTGTAAGAATAAGTGCAATTGCATTTTTGCCATTTGAATTCATTGGGTTTTTTTCATTCATCAGTATCTCAGACCTAAGTAATGGGAACAATTAATATCATAGTATTTGAGACTTACTTACCATCCCCCCGCCTTTACTCTTTTTCTAAAGGTTGATATTGAGATGTCATTTGTAGACCAACCTGGGATTCAAGCTTTAGTAGAAGGATTGCTCCAGTATTCCTGGCCTCTGGAAAAGGGGCCCCTCGATACACCTTTCCCTTCAATTAGCTATAATGAGGCACTGTCTGTCTATGGGACTGATAAACCAGACACTCGTTTTGCAATGAAGGTATGGTCTTATCCAGCAATATTTACTGAATTGTGTTCATCATATTTAACATGTGTTGAAACCCCACATTTTGCTAGTGCCATTCACCTAAAGAGAGAAATGTATAGACTAGATCAGGATTTAGTTTTTATACAAACCCATTTTGTGGCAGTTCTATAATTACAGTGGATAACTAGTCTCATTAAATTATATCAAAGTATCTAGGTGTAACCGGTTATTTCTTGCCAAAGTGATTGGTGCTTCAAACTGAGACATAATATGTTCAACTTACTGAAATTTATCCAAAGCCCAGTGTCAAAATCAAACAATTTGTGAATTTGTTTCTGTTTCTTACATGACTTGCCAATGTCTATTTAAAAACAATCATCTTCATAAAGTAAGCATTTGTGCTGATGTCCATTAATTATTCAGCTTCATTATTACAAGATTATGTGTAAATTGATTTGCGAATGGCTCAATGGTTAATGCCAAAAGTAGTGGGGAAAGAGCACATCCTTTCTTTGTGCCTCGAGTCAGACCATAACTCATTGATATGGATCGAAACTTTTGGGACCTTAAAATAATTGCTCAAAGTTTGAAGAAAACTGTTCCCAGACTCCAACCCCACCCAACCCCATCCAATAACGTCTTCAGCACATTATTGGAATGGAAACTTACAGATTGGGGGGGGGGGGATCCTCTCCCTCCATTTGCTCAGTTTAATAAAATTTCATTTGTTATTTTGTCATTGCTTTCTGATTGCTTCCTCCTTCTAAGATAATGCTGGTGGTCCAATGTGTTCCCTTTAGTGTTTTGTAAAAATATATATCAAATTAGGAAATTGGTATTGAATACCCCCCCCCCAAAATAACCCATTCAAAACTCTAACATTATCAATCTGCATTCAGCTTTTAATACTTTCTAAAAACAGAGTTATTTCAAAAAGATCTATTTTTGAACCTCAGTAAAAGTTATGCATCATGATCTATGTAATTATTTATTGTGCATATTTTAAATTATAATAATGTACTTATGTGTATTGCATAAAAATTACAGCTCAAAAGTCTGTAGGATCAAAAGTTATTTTGGGATGAAATGCTAGCTGAATTGAACCACCCCACTGTTACTACAGGGATGGAAAGTGATGTTTCTGCATGCCTATTACTCACATTTTCTACTTCCAATTCTCAGATTACTGATGTCAGTGATGTACTCAGGAAGGTGCAAATTGAATTTTTAGAGAACTACCTCAGTGAACCCCAGGGCACCATCAGAGCCATTTGCATACCCCAAGGAGTGGTATGTGATGCTGGGTCTTTGAAATATTACTTGTAGTGCTGCCAAGCGTATAATCTACTACTGCAGTGTTCTTGTTCCTTTTACTTTAAATATCTACGCGAGAATAGATACAACAAATAGCAAATCAGTGGTGAACAAAAAAGTAAATGAATTGTGAACTGTATCTTTTCAGGGTAAGGAAGTATATTTGTCTTAACCTAGCAGTTCGGAAACATGCAAATGTGAGTAGATCAATAGGTACCGCTCCAGCGGGAAGGTAATGGCGCTCCATGCTGTCATGCCGGCCACATGGCCTTGGAGGTGTCTATGGACAACGCTGGCTCTTTGGCTTAGAAATGGAGATGAGCACCACACCCCAGAGTCAGACATGACTGGACTTAATGTCAGGGGACAACCTTTACCTTTACCTTTACCTACCTAGTTGTGTATTCTGCATATTGTTACTCTGACTGATTCCTTACTGCTT